ACGCACAAAGCGGCGTCCCTCTGCTAAGGTCGGCATCTAGTCCTGTTACCTTCTTTATAATTAATATACGCAGGGATGCATGTCGATCGTTAATTTCACGTAAATCATTTCTTCCTTTCCATTCTATTCGCTCCTTTTGTCCCCCGCACCATCGGCGACGTCCCCTACGAGTGTGTCAGGAGTACCCCGGGTTTCAGGTTCTTGTCAAGAGTGACGGCGGCCGTCCAGTTGTCCACAAGCTTTGCAATGTACACAACCGCCCACTCCTTGTTTTTGTTCACGCGTGCCTTCAGCGTGTTGCCCTTGAACAGCACGCAGGCCGTCTCAAAGCCCAGGGTCCCCGTCCAGCCCTGTCCACGGCCACACACCACCTCGGCGCCAACCAGCACGTGATGGGGGCACTTCGGTATCGGCGTCACGAAGCTGGTCGTGTAAGAGCGCAGCTTGTTCGTGCGGACCGCCAGTGCGTAGCCAGCATGGGCATAGCGGCAGCCGAGCGTCAGGTCGTAGTCCTTCTTTCCGTCCAGGGTGTAAAGCGCACCGCATCCCACTTGGCAGTGGGGCGCTACGGCCGTCGCGACGCCCACCTCCACAGTTTTGTTCACCAGCTTCGCGTGCGACGACATGCGAGAGGGCATCACGAACTCATGGGAGAGCTCATACTCGCCATTCTTCTTTCCCACAGCCTCCACCTTGTGGCCCTGGCAGAGGTACGACGCCGTCAAGTTGGCATTGCAATTGCTGGGCTCAAGCGTCGCCTTCAGTGCGGCGCCGCACCTTGGAGCGTACTCCACATCCACGCTGAACTTGCCATCGGACGTTGCCATGGGGTTCACAAAGAGCTTGTCCTCTGGGCCCTTGAATTTACTCTCCAGCTTCCATTTCTGAGCATCGCTGTAGCTCTTCGTGAGCATGTCCTTCACGTCCTTGTTGAAGTCCTTGTAGAGAGTCAGGGACTTGGCGGCGGCGAGCATGGGCGGCATATTTTGCTGGAATTCGCTGAATTATAATAAAAAATATCACTTCTGTCTGAGTGGAGTGCCACAAGAGAGACAGGGGGAGGGAGAAATAATAAAGGGAAAGAGGAAAGACAGCAGTGCACATAAGTGGACGTATAAATAATATCATGACGGAAAAATTGCGTGTGTTGCAGCACCCACATTCACTGCAACAAGCACTGCCGCCGCAAGAGTACATTACAAACAATAAAAGTTAGAGCCAGCGATAAGAAAAAGCGAGTATTCGTTAGTGTCATATACAAAATTAGATATATATGTATATAAATGGTGGACAGCAGAGTTGGAGTTAGTGTGTTCTAGCCCAAATGAAAAAAAAAAATTGCCCCTCGTCAACCCACCCTTCTTCCGCACCCTATCCTGTCACAAAAAAAGAAGCATCCGAAACTCCCAGGAGATGCAAAAACTGTTGTGAGGCACAGAGGCGACAAAAGACAAGAAAAGAGATGCGTTCTGTCAATGTCAATAAGCACCGTTGTGGGGAGGAAAAGTATTTTAAAGCAGGAACATTGACCTTATGTGGCACTTTTCGACATTTGCCTAAACTTCCACGCTCATATTTGCAAAAAATGCCGTCGTCGAGTCCCCATGGACAGTCCGTAACCGTTTAATCATTTTGTTGCGGTGACGGTTAAGTTGCTGCAGGCGATCATAGAGAATCGTGCATCGCATAGTAATCCACTTGCGTTCCTGCAGTAGCAGCTGTACCGCCTCTTCTAACGCTGCGGTGGATTCGTGGTGAACGGAGCGAAGAACGTCTAGATGTTGGTGGAACAAACCCATCATGGCATTCGGCACCGTGGGCCCATGACATGTCTCTCCATGCGGCATACGCTGTGCACGTCGAAGGCGGCGGATCTCCTTTACGCGGAAAATTTTTTCGCGGATTGCCTCATCTTTCTCATCGTCACGGCCGTCGTCCCATTCCTGCATGACGTTTCTCGACAAGGGATGAAAAGAAAAGAAGGCAGTTGAATGTTCATGCCCCACTTGTGTCTGTGGATTACAGTGAACGGTGGGTGTGGCAATCAAGAGCTTATTGAAAGGACGCCTTCGACGTGTTATGTTTCATCTTCCACGTGAACGCTCTCACCCCTGCGATTGTGATTCCAACTATCGCCGTAGCTGATAGCTGCAGAAGTCCCGTCGTGGCTCCCGGGCTCCATGCATAATTTTTCTGCGTGAGTCTTCCCCTCCTGTCCCTGCGTTTGCTCCACACCTCCGACATGTTGCTCACAAAGGTGCCAGCATGTGTCACCAGATGTACCGGGTAGTGTCACGCTCTTCATCTTGCTGCTTCCCTGCACGGGGCTTCCTTCATTCATCGCCGTTAACATTTCACTTGGGCGTCCCGCCTTCAACGGGTAAAATGAGCTCCGTGGTACATCGCTCACTGCTGCCGCTACTGTAGCTCCTGGGAATGATGACTCCGTTGGCTGTGGAAGACCCTGCGCCTCGTTGAGATTCCACGTCGCCGCATCCGGCCCCATCGCACGAGCCAAACCGTCACCAAAGGAGGAGGTCCTGTCCGTAACGGAAGTTTGTGGCCATTCATGCAGCAGCAACTTCTCCGCCTCCAAGAGCAGGCCCGATGCATCCATCGCAGGCCGCATGCTGTCAAGATCCACCGTTTTGCTCCTGATGCCCACCGGCTGCGGAGGCTTCACGCGATGCCCTTCAAGCTGCTCAGCCATTTCTTCCGCCGCCGTGCCATCGGCCACTCTCCTGTCGGAGGGCGCGTCACACGGCACGCCATCCAGAGCCAACGCGTACAAAATATCCCACGCCGCCGTGTTTCTGTTGAGCGCCATTGACACGTTGCCTGTGCGCCAAGAAGTCTAAATTCTCAGCGTTGGAGTGAGCCCCCCCGGCCGATTCTTGTTACCCCCAACACACACACACACACACACAAGCAGAGAGAGAGAGAGAGAGACAAAAGAAAACTCCGGACTCTCTTCTTTTTCTTTTCAAACGATCGACCACCCAAAAAAAGAAGAAGAAGAGAACAAAAAAGAAAAAAGGAACAAGCATGCGTGCATACGTAACAAGCCCAGACGGGAATTTACACGAAAAAAAAAAAAAAGGATGTTTTCCATTTATCCTCCACAACACCCTTCTCCATCTGCCGCATTGAACCATGACGCTGATACGATACGTTTTTAAAACAAATAACCTTCACAAGAAAGAGCAATGCGGCAGCTGAAAAAAAAAGGAAAAAAAAATCACAAAATACTGAGAGGAAAAAAATAAGGAGCATCTTTCTTCCCCTTTCATGCCAAATTACGCCCCATCAGTACAATAACTCCTCTGCACACCGCAGAGGCCGGATGCCAAAAGCAAAGGCAGCAATAATCAGCAGCAAAGCCCGCTCCGCTTCACGTCTTGATTGCTTTCGTAGCAAAATAGGATGCCGTTTGTGTTCATGACACTCCTCGTATGGCTCACTACAATGTCCTTTACTCACACCTCTCCATTTGCTCTCGTCTTCGTCCATGGAGAAATCAGAGGATACAAAAAACCCCTTAAAGGCTCGTCGAAGCATTAACAAGACCATAAATAGTCCACGACGCTCTTCGGCTGTTGTGGCACGGCAAATCAAAACATCCATTCGCGAACGATTCATAAACGAAAGGCCTGCTTCAATGTAAGGCTTAAGATACCGCCGTTCACACTCCACGCTCGTACAGCACGCAAAGCAGAGATGATTCTTTTCTTCACTCAACTCCTGCCCCTGTGGCTGCAGGTGATGCATACAAGGTGTCACCCCTTGCGCATCCTTGGTGCAGCCTTGCAGGTGCTGAAATGGGCAACCTTTGACGTTTGGTGTGGGGGCGATATTGTGTTCCTCCGCGTGACGCATGGCATGTAGGGCAAAACTTAGTTTACGCCACTGTAAAAAAGAAAGTGCCGCAGGATGTAACACAAATATCGGTGCGGCTGCAGTAGAAAATTCCTTAGACGTCGTGTATATTGATGCCTCCGCGCCTCGCTCGTTTGTTGTATTTTGTGTCAAGGCGGCAATGATTGTCATGACACGTACAAGTGCACAAGCCTGTTGGAGCAGCAATCCTTCTACCGGCGGGCCCTCCCACCGACTCTTCCCTGAATCTCGTGGCACATCTGTCGGCATGGATGAGACCAGCCATCGCAATGGCAAGAGGGAATTTACAGGGACATCCACAATTCCATCCAACATCCCCGCTGTGGCAGGACGTAATGACACCTCATTCGTGCAGAAAGTCGACAGGGGCAAAAAACGCCACGTGGCGGGCACGTCGGCGTCTGACAAGAGAGACTCCAATGAATGTTGGGCAAGGCGCTGCAGACACGTATAAGGCGTAGACTGGACGTCTGCCACGGCAGCAGAAGGAAGTCGAGAGGACAACTCCCGCTCTATCGCATAGAGTGCGGTGGCAATGTACACAACGTTGCTGCAAATAAGAGAATGATGATTATCCACATATGCATCAATCGCCGCCCACTCTGCTCTCCTAGCACGTACCGTATCGCTCTCTCGTGGTGTCCATATCGACAGGGAATTCATCAGTCCATCCCATATGTATGAAAACGATGAAACTACTCCGCTCCCGCTTCCTTCATTCTGCGCCTTTTGCTGTTGTTGTTGTTGTTGTTGTTGTTGTTGTTGTCGGTGTCGTATTCGGAGTTCTTCACGCATGGATGACCGCCGAAACACCGCATCATCAATGCCACGGAAAAAATTCTCGATCAAACCAAACAACACAGCGCGGACCCGATTTGGTTCCACCTCATTCCGAAGCTCCAGTCCCCGGGGCCCATCAAAGTCAATGGATGCCAAGCGCAGCAGCATGCAGGAAATAACTGTCACGTACGTTGCTTCAAATAGAGGTGGAGGAACAGGAGATGAGAACAAATGACTACTTCTTGAGGCTCCAATACATGCAGAAGATGTTTTCGATGACGCCTGTACATCTTTCCCTACACGAAGAGCGTTATACCCACTGTGCGCAATCCTCTCCTTTTTGGAAGAAATGGAAAGAGAAGAGACCTCCGACTCGACATGTTCCCCCTCCCCTCCCGCCAAAGACAAAGACGCATCTTCCACATTGCAGATAACTTCCAACGACTGTGATGCCCAACCAGCCCATGGGACGTGCAGCACAAAATTCTCCACAACATGCAACAAAATCTGGCAGCGGGAAAAGGCATTCCCCTGCTGAGGGTGTGGTAGATTCCTAAACTTATCCAACATCCATCCCGCCATCACGTCCTCGCGAGTGACCATAGGGGCAAACACACGGGAGATGTGGGATAATAACGCCTGCTGGAAGTTGTTTGCCAATGCCATGACTCCCATGGCGACCCGAAGAGTCTCTGAGAATGGCGTGGATGTCCAGATGGAGAAGGGGGAAGAGGAGGAGGGAAGAGTCATCCCCTGGAAAAAAAACCTCTTCTCTTGACTGGTCGTCTGACGCGTGGTCGTGGCATCTGTGGACAACACGTGAGTTTTACCACTCCGCCGCTCCCGTGCCTCATGATCCTTCGCCCCTTCGATATGCGAAACGTATTGAAACTCCACAGAGCGGCCCAAGCGAAGTATGGCCGACAGCATGGACTCATCGGGAACACAGAAGGCAATGGCCTGCATCACGCGGCCAAACGACGGCAGTAAAACACTCAGAAAAAAATCATTCACCCACAACCGTCTCGCGATCAATGAATCTTCTGTGACGCAGGCGACATTTCCTCCAGACGATTCCGTGGTGCCCGTTAAAGAAACGGTTTTGGTATCATCCTTTTCGGTAGTATCCCCAGATTCATCTATGTCACCAAAATACGCCTGGTTATTCTCCATACACCTTTGGAATGCCAAGAGAGTATCCGCTGTGGCGCTCATGGCATAAACGAGCATCGCGCCAATAAAGAAACGTCGCTCCGTGGCCGCAAGAACAGGGAATGGAACAACCCCAAATGCAACGGCATACGTACCAGACGGCGTAGCCTTAAGACCGTCCAAGTCAATCCAGCAGGTCATCTGCAGCACCCTACCGAGTTCCTGCATCGAGGTACAAAAGGGTGCCGTGTCATTCACAAATTGACATGCGACCCCCAAAGAAAACATATCACTGAAGACGCAAAGATAATCCAAAAGAATCCGCGTATGCCACCAAACAAAACTACACGCCTCCTCGTGTGGCCCTTGTTGGTCCAACACCCTGCCGGTGTCGCTCTGAACTGTATGTGGTGTATGTCGCAGTGAGCTCTTCGCACTCTTGCAAACCAAGGACTTGAGTAACACAGCACGACGCAACCATCGTTCCCAGAGCATAACCTGTTGCCGCAACAACGCTGACAGCCAACGGATGTGCTCATTCTTCAGCGTCACACTCCCGTATTTGTAACAACACCGAAGAAAACTCAATGTTGTCGTGCAAAGTGCACTCGCCGCAATGTATTGCCGTTTTGCCTCCTCATTTGACGCACGGTCACCAGCCAAGCCCTTCCGCTCCGCATCAGAATCCATTCCATCACCCTGCCCGCCGGCATTCTCCCTCTCGTCCGCAAAACGGTCATTCGTATCTCTTTTAAGCAGAGGTGCATCCTCACCGCCTCTTCTACCCATAAGAACATTGGAGAGGGTAAACTCCGTGAGGCACAGAGCAAAATGTGAAATTTTCTTTGGAATTTGTTCGCCTGCAACGCAGCAACATGTCAAGAGGAGGTTCATGTAGTAGAAATCCTTCTCTTGGTACGGCATGGGGCGCTGGCACTCTCTCTGCTGCTCTGACTGACATAAAGGTGTAAGGCAGAGGCTCCCCGATGTCTGAGAAACAAATTTCAAAACAATACACATGGCATTTACCAGCCAGCGGTGGTTACTCGTGATAAGAGGATGTGAGCCTCGCTTTCGCATCAACTCTTCTCCCGTAGAATCAGAGACATCTGTTGGAAGCTGCTGTCGCCATTCATCCTCAACTGCACGAAGAATGATGGCCATGTCACGCATCTGTTCAACGGTGCCGGAGCTCCCACAGCGACGTACACATTCCAAATACTTCAAGCCGGGTGTGTTGTTTCTCAACGCATCCTCCGCCTTCTCATCCTCATCCCTGTCCTCCGCCTCTCTGTGTTGTTCCTCCCTCTTCATCCCCTGTCCTCCGTGGTGGCTGTGGTTTCCATGACGGCCATTCCCAGGTGCATAAAAGGCATCCGATAACAATACAAGTCGGCCCAGTTCGGCCAGGGCAATGCATACAACAATCTCCTGTACGTGTTCCCATTTTAATGTTAAGTCCTTCTCCTTCTCTTCTCCATCGACATGTTTTTCTTCTTTCCCCGTCTTACTCTCTTCC